CTTATTTGTTGTAGTCTCGATTTTGTGTTAAATTAAATGAGTAGTTTTAAACGGTTCCCCGTCCAACCCAAATACATTCATCGATATTAATTGTCTTACGTGCTGTAACTCTTCTTCATTACAGCCTATAGTGTCGATGAGTGTCATAATTTATTTAATTAATTCCTCAACACTTTTTAAATCGCAGTCTTTTCCGCGTACGTGTCTATTTCTTTATCTCCATCTAAACTTTTAAATCTCAGCCAGTATTTCTTTCTACTTCTTTTTCTTCCAATTTGCCTTCCTCAAGCAAGCCCACAAATATAGTTTTTTCTTCTCTGTCACCGTTCCCCACGTTGTAAGTTATTTCCATTTTCTTAACTTTTTCGCACTCTATTAGATCCACTTCCGGTACTGTAATTCTCCTTTTATTGTTTGAAAAATTCACGCACTCCGCATATATTTTACCTTTATCATTAGTGCCGTAAAAGTCTCCAAAATGCACATGTTCTCCCACATCTTGAAGTGGCACAAATCCAACTTAAATCTTTCCGAATTCTTTCTTGACTCTTGCATATATAACCTGTCTGGATCTTGCTATCTTGAAATTCTCTGCCGTCTTCAGAGGGATTTCCACACCACCTAGGCTGAGTGTATTTGTTCTTGCGCTTACCTCGCCATTGTATTTTTTAAACATATCCCTTCTAAGGATTCAGTCTACTTAGATCGGAAAATCCTGCGGGACTACACAAACTTTAAACTGTAGATCATTGCGTCCACCGTGCCTTTCGTTTTACGTTCTCCATGAGTTGTTCCAACATTTTTTCATTCTTATCCAATGGCAAATTTTCTTTAATACAATCTTCTTTTAGCATCGAGATCTCGGTACCCGTGTTGGCATAGAAATCTGATCTCTTATTTCGGAAATCCTCACCCTCCAGCGTTACTGTTGGCGGTCTGCGTCCTACTGCTGCATAATTAATTAGTACCGTCGTGACTACTTTTTTTTCCTCGTTTTCCATCGATATATTTTTATCGTTCAGATTTTTTTTTACATTTTGCTCGATTTTTTGACGAGTATTAATTTTGTTTTTGTTTATCTCTTCTCCTTACACCTCTGACTATATAGGTTTTATTCTTTCTTTCCAATTTTTCCATCGTTTACTTTTCGTCCTTTTCAATATGTAGCCACTTTTTCCCGAAGCTCGATGTTGGGGGAGTACTCCAAGCATCGTTCTATCAATTTGGCTTCTGTTTACTAGAGATATCAATCTGTCTGGGTTCAGCCTCCCTCGCGTCTTGTGTTCCGTTTGTATGTCAAGGCTCATAACGCTCGTTATTTTTTCAGCTATAATTATTTCGGCTATCATCCCTAACACTGTCATTTTGGCCGTAATTTTTGCCATTCGGCTCATAATATATATTATTACTATTGTTATTATTATTATTTTCGCGATAAGCATATCCTTTTTCGAAATCTCTTCTATATCTGCCGTAGTTGCATTTATTCTCCGCCTGAGCCGTATTATTATTATTATTATTAAATCTGTAATCTCTGGGTCTACTTCCACTATCATTATACGATCTTCCACCTCTTCTTTCTTCACCCCTATCCTGGTACCTTGTATAGTACGGTGCTCTGGTCTTCTCACTGCGACCTTTCTTTACTAGCAGCCCCTTTTCTGTGTCGTGCCACAATGAACGACACTCTCCTGCTGTGTGCCCAATTCGGCCACAATAGTTACACTTATTTCCTTCGTTTTCCCTTTTGTTAATTTTTTTTTCCCATCTCTCATATTTATTGCTGTCTACTCGAGGTGACTTCATAGCCATAATATCCTTGATATTCAATGCCAATGTAATGGCCTTTGTTAGCGTTATGGGCCTATGCATTGAAACTTTGTGGTTGTACGGAGGATTGAGGCCTGATATATACGGGGTCACTACCGCTTTTTGGATATTTTTTTTTAAATTCCTGCCTTAACATTTCATAAACTTCAAGGTTTTCTTCTTGAAGTCCCATGGCTCTGTTGAACAATTTTTGCAGACGATCTGAGTATTCTTTTACAGATTCCCTATCACTTTGCCGTTTCGGCCTAATTTTCGCCATAACTGTCTCTGAGCTATTGATGGCCCCGTACTTTTCTGTAACCTCCTCGAGAAATTCTTTTATGGACTCAAACTGTGTGATTCTATCGTTTAAATGTGCTGCTGCTGGACCTTTTAGCCTACTGGACAGCGTGGCCAAAAAATATAGGACGTTTTTGTCGTCCACCTTTCAGCCTATTGCCCTTACTACTCTTGTGAATGCTGTTAGATTTATTGGGTCGCCTGTAAATGTAGGTATTATGGGGATTATTGTACTTAATTCTTTAATTGAGTAATTTATATTCTTCTCATACTCCCGGTGATGCGGCAATTTGTGTGTAGGTCCATCTGTTGTTTGCCGCCACCTCTCTCGGTTATTTAAAAAAATTTTGAACCCCCGCATCGGTCTAGCTTTCCTTCTAACTCTGTTGTGAAATTCTCTTTTATCTTTTCCCCTCTCGTTTTCTGACCGTTTCCGGAACAACTCTGTCTCCCTTCTCCAATTGACAAGCTGATTCCCAGCGGGCCCCCATCTGACTCATCCTCTTCATTTCCACTATCATCACTACGCAAGGGCTCTATATATGATTCTGAGGCTTCATTTTCTCCAATTATTTGCTTAGGGCTCTTTTTTCTGATCTCTTAGCACGACCGATTTTATGCCCTTAAAGATTTTTCCAATTAAGTTCTTTGTTTTCTTGTTTGACTTTTCTAATTCTTTGACCACCTCGGAATCGTGGCAAAATTGCAACCATAAAATGTCGTCTGTTACGACCTCCGCGTCTGCTAAGCAGTCCACCGCCCCACCTACAACGTTATCAATTTTTCCTGACTGCATTTTGTTTTTTGTTTTTGTTTTTTTTGCTTGTACTTATTTGTTATGGGCCTATCTGATAAAACTTATTGCCTAGCAGTTATATTATTTACCTTTTATATAAATTTTATCTACCTGGAAAGTATTGTAAGTAGTACGATCCAAAGCATTTCCGTATCCGTAAACAAAATCTCCAAAGAAAAATAATGCTACCAGAAGGTGCGTGGTGTTGTGTAGTTTCATGTTTTGGCTCTCCCTTGTCTCATTTCCTGATGGTGCCGGCCTCCTGGATGGCTGCTATGCGCCCACGCTGGTATTTGACACGTGCTCGTTTCTCACGTGTCTCACCACGTGTGTCTTCTTAATACTGTATTTTCCTTTTCTTGTTATTATTCACTGTTTTTTTATTTTTTTTTAAATTTTTCTTTTTTTTTCACGATAATTCTTTTTATTTTCACTTACACTGCACTATGGGTGCTTTCCGACGACGAAAGAAAACAAAAAAAATTTTCTTATCACTTTGTCGAACACAACTCACCACACGTCGAGCGCCAACAATTGGGGGTGGGGTTATCTACAACCTCCTATTACGTGGAAATCGTGGAGCTTGGGGGTCTAAGAGGATAGAATACACGTGAAAGAAAGTTGTATATCCGTTTATTCGTGGATCAAAGCGAGAGCAGTCGCGTGCGAGGTGTTAGGTTCAGAGGCTGATGGAGAGAGCGGGCGGGAGAGCTGATAGCGCTCGGGCCCGCTGCCAAAAGGTGTTCATCATACTCTGTGTCCTCTGCTTATGCGCCGCGAGAGGTGAGTCTTGGGCGCGAACCTATATAGGCTCTACATACTGTACGTCACACGTCCGAGGCCACGCGGTCATCGTCCTCGATGTCCACACTGGTTTGTGTGTGTGAGTATAATTGTGGTATGTTTTCTGTAAATTCTAAGTTATTTGTGCAAACACAATTGTTTTTGTTTGTGCTGCTCTTTTTACATTATAATTGTANTAAAGTAATTAATTATGCGCACCTGTGCAAATAGTAGTTCTAAAAAATTTTCGAGTCAATAGTTTCATTATCTTTTATTATTTTTTTTCTTAATCTGTACACATCTTAAGGAGAAAAATTTTCGTATAAGTACTTATTGAGTTACAAAAATTGTAAAATATCTCATTTAATTTCGTTTGTTATCACGCAAAAATCTATACGTCTATGTTGTGAGTAAGTCTCTATAGAAAATTTTTTGAATTTTGAGTTCTGAAGAGATCCTAAAAATTGGAAACAAAATATAAATAACCTATGAATAAATACGTTTTGCTCACAAATAATGTTGTACAGAGAAGCTCTTTCTAAGGATAGACGTGGAAGTGGTCGGATTGACTTTTAAGGTGGCTACGCACGATACGGCTTTTTCCTTGCAATATTAATTAGTAAACGATTACTTATCAAGATCCTCGTATTTTATTTGTAAGCACCCTGAAGCCACCGTTTCTCACGTAACAATGCTCTTTGCGTGATTAAAAAACAACTTCTCACCGGGTTATAGAAAAATTTACAATACAACTGTTAAAAAAATTTTAAAAATAGTATGAACTTTTTTGCCAACAAAAACGGTACTGTTAAGCTTATTAGCATGAAAAATTCTGGAAATATTAGGGCTTGAAAATACCTACTGTGAAGATACTGTTAATTGAAAAATATGTTTTGTTTCATTGTAGACGGCCGATTGTATAAACATATTTTAATTCTGCAGGAGTCACCTTGTAATACTTTCTAATGCCTTTTTTTAATGAAACGTTGATGGAAAATGTAATACTTACTAAGTGTTTTTATTACATCACCAAGTAATCACCACTAAAGTTATTAAGCCTTTTTTTAAAGTTAAGAGATAAGTTACAAAATCATGTTTTCACTAAAATACACTTTTGTTTCTCTTTGCATAAGATAGTTGCTTATTTTATTTTATCAAAAATTCTATTCAGATTAAGCTAAATTGTTGGTATTAGAGCAAAATGAGTAAGAATTAATCGTAGATAATGTACGTAATGTACGTAACGAGGGATGATAATTAATTAACTGAGAAAATCGGTAATCTAAATAAAATGAGGCATACGCGCACATACCTTAGTTTCTTTGCTTGCAGTGTGCCAGATCCTGATGGTCTGGTCATTGGAACAGCTTGCGATAAACTCACCGCAGGAACTTATTCGAGCCATTCTGACCCACTCCCTGTGACCAGTAAGGGTCTTGACGCAGTATCCTGTAGTAACCTCCCACATTTTAATGGACTTATCACGGGAGGCACTAACAACGTAATCACCTTGTGATGTAAACGTTACCGAGCTCACATTGTGGTCATGGCCATGCATTGTTTTTATGCAAGAGAAGGACTGCTGAAAGTCCCACAACTTGATGGACATATCAGAACTGCAAGAGACAAGCAGTTTGCCATTCATATCAAATGCTACGTCCTGCACGCTGTCTGTGTGACCCTTCAACGTTCGTTCAAACTCACCAGTCTCAAAGTCCCATACCTAAAAAAGAATAGTTACATTTAAAGATTTTATAATTGACTCATAACCGAGTATAAGCAAGCCTTGACTCTTTTTATATGACACCTATCAATACTACAACTAACGTCTAGTATCAATGTATACCCAAAAAAGCTGGCTAAAATAAAACAAAAAGCTTCGATTTTACAATTGTTTTTATTTTTTAGTTACTATCATATACAACGGAAAAAATAGATTTTGAAAAATACACACACACACTCACAGAGAGAGAGAGAGAGAGAGAGAGAGAGAGAGAGAGAGAGAGAGAGAAAGAGAGAGAGAGAAAGAGAGAGAGAGTTTCAAGACCAAATTCAGTCACCAACCTCACCTAACCCTACTCTCCTTGACCCTCCGCACCACTCGTCAAAACTTTAAATGTTTCCTTTAGCCAACCCTCAAAATAAGCGAAAAAAACTCAAAATTTTTTACTAAAAATTAACCTAACAATAAATATCCTACGAAAACAAAGACACTCTTCAGGCTACCATCACATCTAAGTGGTCCTCCTCCAGGTCCCCTCCGATAACCTTTATGATACTTGTTAAAATTAAATTACGAATCATAATTTAAGATTAAATAATCAAAATACCAAACAATACACAGTAGGATTATTATTTAGGTGATCATTTTATGAACGTGATACATTTTTGTTAATTCTAAAAATTTACGTTGGTGTTAATAGTTTTTATACTATTTTTATACATAATGACATATTCCATACTAAAGGATGATTTGTGATAGATACTCTTGTATAAATGTTCACGTATGAATTAAGTGAAATTTCTGCCAAAATATACTTGTCAATGTCGGTACTAGTAAATAATTTTTCGTTAGGATGCAATTTAACAATAATGTGAGACTGATAGACCTCGTCTTTGAAATGCGATTGCGTAAACGTAGAAAATAACTTTTCCAAAAATATTTGGCTTGCTTATATCATCTAATACTAACTTAAGTTTCATATGATATAATCCGGGAGTAATATTCAGTATATCATTGGAAATTTTCGCATTGCTGCCATTGAATTTTAGTAACGTTCTTGCGTACACCTTGCACCACTGATGAATGTTGAAGTTTATATGAAAATGTTTTCTACTTTGTTAATTTAAAAATTTTATAACTATTTGATGCATTACGCAATATAAATTGATTAGATTTTGGTAACATTTAATTCTTAATATTTTTTGATTATTATAAAAAAAGTTTAACTTTTTGCTTTCAATCATAACGTATACATGCAAAAAAAATTGTTGCGTTAATCTCTCAGCATATAGTACAGAACTGAAAATCTTACTGCTTAGTCGATAAGAAGTTCTATACGAATAATAATGAAATATTAGATTTTGTGCATCGATTAAATTTTCTTGCCTACAGCAAGTACTCTATTGTACATCTCCTGATGAGAAAAGTAAAAGAAAAGTTACAGGATCAACATCTTGTGATAATTTATCTAGATATGTACGATTTAGTTCACTATTAAGTCAATCATTTGGATATACTTACGAGTCATTGTCTACAATATTTCCTGATTTTAAAACGATTATAGTTCCACATTTTCATATTGCAGGTTTACTCTGCTAATAATTTTTACTGTTATGTTTTTTAAAAAAGTTAATTTTATAGATTCTTCATTATCAATTAGATGTAAATGTTTGTATTTTTTTGCATATGGATTTTGTTTCATAATTTGTGTTTTCTGAGTCAAGAACATAGCATAACTACCACCATGCTAGTAGCAAAAGTCTGGCAGCCTAGGTGTGGTTGAGAAATGCTCTTCACTCGCGTGTAACCAGCCGTAATCGACAGAGTTTTAAAAAGTTATTTTTTTTTCATACAACTTATTATTGTTGTCTTACAGTTGGCTAAATATTGTACATATATAAAGCACTGTAACGAGAAAATCGGTTTATAATTAAGGACTGTAGGTGACTTTAAACATTTTTTTCTCGATTGGCCCCACTGTGTATCAGTGAGACAAGTGATTATATAAGATTAAAATCATTAGGAGTGCCTTAGCTTTCTGCAGACAAACTTTAATCAAAAGTTCATTGGCCAAGAAAATAATTTTAATTTGAGTAAAAACCAAAAAGATGGGTTTGTGTTATAATTTTGCTTACAGTTTATTTTATTGGTTGCAAATATTTGATGCAACCCGAATCGGCCGATAATTTGACTGCGGGAAACTAGGATGATTTGGAAGAGTGCCGCCAATTGAGAGCAGCAGTATATGGAACTTGACCCAGACGAGTCAAGCAGAGGACCTCGACCGAAGAAGAGTCGAGGATGGTAGGATTGATTGATTGAGACTGGTTAGTGTAGGAGGCTTCAAGCCTTTTATACGGTTTTGCATGGGTAAATTTGAGGGTGCCGTTCTTGTGTACACGCATAGTTAGAGTATTGGGAAGAGGTCCTGAGAGCGAATCGGGAAAGCGATCATCGAATGGGAAAGCTTGATTTGTAGATCACGCCCTTGCATTATTCGGGGCCACCACTCAGTTCGAGTACTTGATGTTTTGCAAGTTTAGAAAATCCTCTTCCCAGTTCATCACACTAGAGAGAGGGGAGACAATATTCCTCCTTCTCCTGTCTCGCGGTGAAAACAATAAGCAGTGATAATGAAAATTAAAATAATAATAGCAAATATAGTAGCAATAGTTCCAGCAGTGGCAATAGTAGTAGTAATTACAAAATGATAATACAAATAATAATAATGATAATAACAATAAACGTAGTAATAGTAACGTAAGTATAAATGTTGTCATTAATTATTATATTGTTAATTTATATCTCCAGCAGTGGTAATATTCTTGAGAGTGGGAAAAAAGGCTGTGTAGTTGTACACGGTAGTGGTGGCATGGGGTTGCTTGTTACAGTGCAGGAGTAAGGAGGGTACCAATCGCCAACGAGGTGTGTGGCTTCGTTTTATTTGACTAAAAACAACATTTGTTTTTTGTCACCTCTTGGAATTTTTGCACAAGTTGGCGTGTTTTTAGCGTCTGAGTTTTCGCGGAAAATTTTATTTAGAGTAATAAAGGTGCACTGCGTGCGGGTGAGTTTTCTTTGAAACGGTTTTTTCTCGGAGGTAATAAGAAGCGTAGAATGCCTCTTCCTTTTAATTCTGTTTGTGCGGGTGGATAGGAGTAGTAGAAAGCGAGGACAGTGCAGAGGAGTGGGTGTGTCTAGTAATTTAAAATTTTTGAGGATTTGGCTGCAGACGTTACACCTTTAACTATTTGCACCACAGATGGTTTTGTTGTTGATCTCCATGGTCCTTTTTGACAACAGAAAATGATGCAAGCATCATGCAGAAAGTAATGGATGAACAAAATAGTATAAGAACTATCATGAGAAAATATGATACTTACATTGCGGATAAAGGTTTTAGGGATGTGGTACCTCATTTGTAAAATTTTAATTTTAAGGTTCTCATGTCTGCTTAAAAGGGAAATAGACCAAACTTGAGAAAAACTGAAGCGAATGAATTTCGTTACATAACGAAATTGAGATGGATCCTAGAGGATGCTCATGGCGTTCTAGGTAAGAAGTACAATCTTCTTTACTATCAATAAGATTATAAACTGTTACCAAAAGCTGGTGCAAATTATAGAATTGCATGTTTTCTCAATAACTTTTTTGGTAAATATTTAAATAGCAATAAAGATGATGACGGCTTAGAAAGTATAATCATCGCAAGAATGTTCAATATTAAACAAAGAGAAAATACTTTAGTCATAGAAACTGAAGTAGACAGATAGTCTCGACGACCCACTACTTCGATCAAGATAACATCTACTGAAATTATTGACTTTCTAGAGTTAACTGACAGAGATATGAAAAAAAATTTTTTTGGGAACCTATTAATTCGGCCAAGCTATATGTTATTTAGCCGAATGAATAGATAATGGNTTACTCAGGAACAACGACGTAGACGCAGTAGGTTTTGTTCCCTTTGGGGTGCTTTTAAATAAAATACTTAAAAACTTAAAAAAAAAAAAAAAAAAAAAAAAAAAAAAAAAAAAAAAAAAAAAAAAAAAAAAAATTTTTTTGGGAACCTATTAATTCGGCCAAGCTATATGTTATTTAGCCGAATGAATAGATAATGGTAACAATATCAATTTGGAATATATTTAAATGGAATCTTATATTATCAAACTATTAACAAGGTCCAGGCATATCAACAAAAAAACTTACAAATGTTACACTGAGTATAAACTAAACAGAATTAGATACCCATGCATGTAACTGTGCCCATGGATGACGAACTGTAAGATAATGTTCTCACATTTCTGCAGTCATATATTATCTTAGTAATGTAAGATACTAATTAAAAATTATTCAACCAGCAAAAATTCTTTCAGAATTATTTATAACCTAATATATTAATCCTGTAATAGACGAAGATAGTAACGAGGACTGAAAAATTTATAAATCATTTTGAAAAAATTATTATTGTAAATTTCGTGAATTAGTTACAAATTTTGAGAATAAAACTTGTTTGTATTTTAATAAAAACTCAAAGATATTAATAGTGTTTTTTAGAATAATTGATTTGTACAAAAAATATTAATACATATTTCCTAATGTATAAATGCATAAAAATGAATTATGAATAAATATTATTTATAAATAATACAGATAATATACACCTGAAAAAGACTATATCCAGTTCTTTGCAGCTGTAAGAAGAAAAAAAAATTGGTAGAACAATTTCAATGCTCTAAGATCTGTTAAACGAATATTTTTAAGGTTATATTCCATAAATATATTTTTTTAAATTTCCACTTTGATTTTAAAGCATTATTTGAAGCTAAATTAGAAGTTATAGCAGTGGCATTCAACAATATTTAGAAAAATTGCAATTGAAATATTCATAAATATTTATTTCACTATTGGTTTTGAGATTACGTACCAAAAATACGGAAGGAAGGCACAAAAAAACTTTTTTTTTAATTTTCAGTACGTTCTAGCGCAAAAATACCACG